AAATGTTGAGGAGTCTCAAAGGATTTAGTACACGCGAGACAAAAGGAAACAAGAATGGGGTCATATTTTCTAAGATTATCATCTATAGTTATGCCATTATTGAAAATCCTATGAGATATGAGAGAATTGGCTTGTAGAATGAAAGGTTTCCACTTAACTTTGGTGTAGTTGAGTTCATTATAAGTATAAATATGATATGATCATATGCATCTTTGAAGGTATGGATACCGTTATTTGATATAATCCAGTTATGAGAGTCTTCTTCAGTTGTTGAGATAGGAAGAGTAATATCCAGGATGTCTGAGGTAATTTTGGCATCAAATTTATTAAATGATTCAGAAAAGTTCCATATGTTATTATAGACCATATGAAGCAAGGTAGCTTTTTGGAGATACTTTATGTTAGAAGAAAAGTCATGATTTTGATCATTGATTATATAGTCAAGTTAGTTATGAAGCCAAAATGAAATATATCTACTATTATCAATTTTCTAGATGCCTATTTCTTGAATAAACTCCAAGAAATTCTTCAAGCCATGCTAAAGGATTATTGACTTTTAACCAACAAATATCACTACAAACAAAATATTTTTATCCAAATCAAAGACGAAAGGGTTAAGTAAAAACAATTTGGTCATCAACTCAACAAGTTGTGGGCAAAAGATGATAAAATACATATGCCAAGTCTTATATCTATCTTTTAATCATTACTCCCATTAAGTACCAAGTAAGTGGCTAGTCTTTGCTAATTTTAAAGTTTCTTTTTTCAAAATATTATTTAAGATTTAACTCCATAAATTTTAAACAACATATAACATTTCTATATTTTTAATCTTTTTATGTTGAAGTTACTATGAATAATAATATTTTTTCAATATTTTCTACTGTTTTGGCAGATATGTCATTGATGTTAGCTTAGTTACAAGAATAATAATAATTTTCAATATTTCCTATTGTTCCGGTATATGTGTCATTGATGTTAGCTTAGTTATATTGGTATCAAAATTATTTTGATACTAAATGTCAACATTATATAAATGTTAGTTTTTACATAAAAGTTATTCAATAATGACAAAAAAATATCAATACAACACAGTATTGAAGTAAACTACGTCAAAAAATTGAAAGAATTCAAAAAAATTATTCTGAAAGAAAAATGAGATACTTTTAGAAAAGGGAAGGAAGAAAAATAAAGAAAAATCTAACATTGTATTTGAGATGTGTATTTCCTGTGTTAGGCGGGAAACTCGTTACAGTTTTGTCATTTGAAAAAATGTCTTGTTGAATTGAGATTTGTGTTGTATAAAACTACATTTGACCTTGATTCTCAATTCAAATAAAATATTTTACAATTCAAACTTATCGAATCTATATTTTTTAAGTGTTTATATAGATTTTTAAATGATGAAAGGTCGCGTGTTATTCTCTTATGTGCAGATCACACATGAGGAAATATATTCCCTATATACTATATTAGTCAATGATAGATGTTAATGATACATAATAGTAACAAATCAAAAATTGTGTAGATCACATGTGAGAGAACCAATTTCCTATATCACATATTAATCAATGTGATAGTAATGATACATGATAGTAACAAATCACATTCTCTTACGTGTAAATCACATTTTGAGAGAATCAATTTTGAATATCATATATTAAGAGTAAAAAATCACATGTTTATTGAAAAAATAAAAGATTTTTAACTTTTTATTATATAAAAATCAACAATAATCTCATTAAGTTAAAACAAGAGGAATACATCTGAAAACAATATTAAGTTATGAGACAAACTCCATCCAAACTTTAGTTCCTATATCTTTTGCTAGTTTTACTAAACTATGAACTTCATCCAAATTTTAGTTCCTATATCTTTTACTAGTAATGAAACAATTAGGCCAGACCTAAAATTTCTTAAGAAGAGCTATGCATTTCCTTCCAAGCAATCCACACAATCATCAAAGCACTTGTTTAGACCTCAATGGTGTTTCTTTATTTTCTATCACTAATAAGAGACACTATCAGATTCCCAAAGCTTTAGCCTGGCTCGAGTTAGTATTAACAAACTCTTTCTCGCAAGTTGTCATTACAACTACACTATTCCGCTCTTTTAAAATACAACATCAAATTGTGAAATCATCCCTATCACAACATACACCAACTTTAGCTATGAACTCAGTGATCTGTAGGCTTGTTCTCTCCATTTGATCACTAGGCCTCCCTCGATCTTGTGGTCTTTGGTTGGTCTTGTTAAAATCCAGGAAAATTTCCCAACACTTTTGACTACCTCTAATGGGTTTACAACTATGTTTTTGAACGTAATTTGATTTTTCTCATTTCAAAGTTCTATTACACATAACAATTGATCCTTTAGTTGCTCCTTAAAATTCAACCACCTTTTAAGCCAAAAATGCAGGTTTAACTCAGTTGGTACATGGGCTCCCAAGAGTGATATAATTCCATATCATTTTTGTATTTTGGCAGTGCATGAATAAACATTTTTCTATTTCTTCCTTTGAGTTACAAACAAAAAACCTAACATCAATGCTGGAAATTATGTTTGTTTAGAGAGAAGATGTCACTCACAATGTTGAATCAATGTGTGAGACAAGATGGTCTGAAATAATAGACGAATGATTAAAAAATTACTTTCTCCACCCCAAAATAAGTGTCACATTTAGAAAAAATTGTCCCAAAATATTTTTCACTTTAGATTACCAATGCAATTTTATATTTAATCTTCTAATTGTACCCTCTAATAAATACTCTTAATTTATTGTTTTCTCACTTAATATTAATGCTAATCTAAATACACCAATAGTTAATCATGATAATTTGATAAAATAATTATTCTTTCTCTTTCATTTATTACTGTTTCTTAATATACGTGAAATGATAAATTGTGATAAATAATATGGGACGTAGGGAATAATAAATAAAAGACACGAGAAATTGTTAACTCAATTTATTGCAATTGTCACCCACGTTTGAAAGAAATTAGTTTAGAGAAAATAAAATTCACTAATAATAAGTAATCAATAGTACACCTCCTTTTTATCTGAACCATCTCTAATTCAAAACCATTTTCCTAATACTACTTATAGATTTCAACCCAAGCTCCCCTTGAATCTGAGAACCCCCCACATCCTCTCAAACACTCTCTCAAGTGTCTGTAAGTCTTTAGCAATAAGAACATGATAAACTTCATAAAATAAAATCACAACTCTGTTTCTAAAAAATGATAGAAAATAACACAGAACAAAGTTGAATACAACCGAGACACACTTTGTTCCTTAATCACCAAAGCATCCACTACAAGTCCAAGTGATGAACATATGTTTCTTGTTTTTATAGAGTCAAGTTGCCTGGCTGACCCATTAGGGTTTCACAAACAAATCCAAGGCATGTCCAATCTTAAACAAAAAAAATCTTTCCACAATAAATTACGTAGATTCTATAATAAAATAAATATTTTCAAAATAAATCATGCATATACTAGTACAAAATAACTTATGGTCTATATATGACTCGTTCCTAAAATATCGTGCTTAATCCAGAATCAAACCAAATCTTTCCAAAAATCATGCGTCAGTGGATAATGAAGCCAAAATATTTTAACAACTTACGTGATATCTTGCTTAACGTTTTGCAGATAAAAATAAGTTAACTCATATGTAATAACAAATGTGTATACCTTTTTTCTCAAGTTATATCTAGTTGAGAGGGTTGATGTAGCTAGCATATATATAATTTGTTTATGGAATTTGAAATATTGACATTCCAAATTTCTTTCTAGCATTGGTCCTCATTTGTTGTGAATGGTCATGTCTTCTCTCTACTCATACATTCTCCAATTAAGTGATAAACTGATTTTATAGAGTACTCCCCACTATTCCCATTCATCCATAACGGTATATCTTTAGACTTCCTAAATGATAGAGGGATACTCAATATTTATTTTACTTTAAAATGGTTGAAATTAGGGAAAATGATTTCTCTTTTATGTTATTTAAGGCCCAAGTCTATTAGCTCAACAACAGCGACATTATGGTCTAGCATTGTAACATTACTTAACACATATAGTTCTGCTTGAGATGGCAGCCACTTATCTTTCCATATCCTAAAATTTTTTCCATTTCCAATTCTCCGCATACAATCATGAGATAAAATTTCACTTGATCTCATAATGCTCCCTTAAGCATAACTAGGTGTGAAGTCAACCTCTACATTCGTGGAATCTCCCATTGGGTAACATCTTGCCTTAAAAGTTCTCCGCATTAAAGTATGTTAACAATTCTTCACCCATGTTTTCCCAATAAAACTTTATTGAAGTATCTATTTGAAGCCAATTCCCTTTATATTCTTGATTTTAGACAATCTATTCATACTCATTTGATGAATTTTTCTTTCACCCTCCTTGAATCCCCACAAAAATTTAACTGACATAATTTTCAGCTCATTACAACACCCCTCAGTCAGCTTATAACAATTCACAATATAACTCGAAATTGATTGTGTAAATGCTTTGATAATAGTCTCTTTCTCTGCTTTTGAGTTAAAGACTATTCTTCCACCTTTTTAGCTTCTTCCACGTCCAATTAATTACAAAGGAAAAAAAACCCATTCTTAGACCTACCAAATACATCAAGGAGCTCTTAGAATCTAGTACAAGACATCACCGTTTTAATTTTCATACTACTACAGACCATCTCTGTATCTTCTTCACTCACATTTCGACTAAATGTTACTTAAGAATTATCAATTTCTAACTTTATTATTAATTCATCCTAAAAGACTCTAATATTAGAAATTCAATTTTATTGCAACAATTACATCATACATAAATCTTTCAAGAATCCCAACAATTATGAATTATCATAAGACGAGATTTGTTTCTCATGCTATATCATGAAGGATTAATCATCATGTATGTAATTTTATATATTTCTATTTATTTATAAGAAAAATAAACCAGTTGGTAAAAGAAGAGGTTCATAAATGGTGGGCTTGGTAATCAATTACCAACCCAACCCAACTTTCAAAATGTGGATGAATCTTGCCGTTTGATTAATCCAACTTTTCTTTCCCTTTTCTCACCTTCAAATACAAGCTACCATTCTTTTTCAAAACCCTAATTTCGTTCCCCCAATCCATTCACCGATCTCAACCAATTTCTCAGATCTGCTGCGAGGTTTCCCCAGGTATTCTTCAAATTCTGTTATCTCAGAGTCACTTTACTTGAATTTTCTGATTATTTAGTTTCATAATTCACGTTGTACTAGGTTTTCTTGATTGAATTTACACCTTCTAATTCATGCTGAAAATTATGGATCGTTGTGGAAGTTGAATCAGATTTTGTAATTCATGCTGAAATTGTGTTTTTTGATGGTTAATTTGGGAAGTTGAAACGTTGTTTTTTATGAGATTATGAATGCATTCAATTGTATTATACTTTTGTTGCAGGAATTATGTCTTTTGTGCGGAATTATCAAGCTGAAGATCGTAATTTAAATGGTGGCTATTGGCCTACCTATGATGGAAACAACACTGATAGGAAAAGAAGCCGAAACCATTACGATCAGAGGAATTATAACAATTACTATGACAACCAGACCAATTTTGGGTACTATGGTGGCAACTTCAACCAATGCAATGCGGACTATTCTAATTATGCTGATGTTGTGCCATCGTCTCAAAAGAAAAGAAAATTTTCAGGTCCTGTTGGGGTAGAAAGCCAGAAGTTTAATCTGCCCGCCACTGTCTATGACAATGTCCCTTCATCCCGGAGTTTTCAAGCTCATGCAACAAGATCCAATGCTTATACCTCAACTAGTGTTAAACCTGGTTTCTCCATATTTGATGATGATACGCCTGTCTTTATGTCGAGGGATGATATTGATAGAAACTCTCCATCAAGAAAAGACGGTATTGATGTGCGCCATGAAGCACACTTGCGGTATTCTTATTGTGCCTTCCTTCAGAATCTCGGAACAAGGCTTGAGCTGTAAGATTCACATTGCTAGTCACTGGAAATAGTCTTTATTTGGAGATTTAAACTGTTTATATTCTTATATGATGTTAGTTTGTGGATTAGTTTCATTTATTGTGTCAGCTAAAATTGTATAATGTTTGTTTACAGGCCACAAACTACCATTGGGACATCCATGGTTCTGTGCCACCGCTTTTTTGTTCGACAATCGCATGCTTGCCATGACAGATTTGTGAGTTTTTAATAATGCCCCAGCTCTAAATTCATTGTTTACTCTTCGTATTACTAAACTTTTCAATTTGTTGTACTACTAGAAATTCAAAGAAAATTTGCTGCTCATATTTATGAAGATGTTGGTGCTTGATATTTTATCTCAATTAAGTAATGTTATTATTAAATTTGATCTCAACTGCAGTTGATAGCTACTGCTGCTCTTTTTCTTGCTGGGAAGTCAGAAGAATCTCCATGCCCTTTGAATAACGTATTGAGAACATCCAGTGAAATCTTACACAGACAAGAATTTGCTTTCTTATCCTACTGGTTTCCTGTTGTGAGTATACTTCAAACTACCCTAAATTTCTTCCTCTGTTGTACTATGTTGCCCATGGAAGACATGCAAAAAAAATCACTGTATAAATAGCCTCTATTAATCTCTGGGTGGAATATGCTTGTTATGTTTATGAAATTACCCATGAATATTGATGCTGAATCACCGTAAACTTCGAAACGGGTATTATCTGTTGAATATAATGTCAGTTTAAATAAGTTAACATTTCTCTTTGAATGATCCGTTATTCTTATTGGTTGGTACTCGTCAAACTTTGGTTGTAATTTTCATTTTTATTGACTTGATTTGAGTTTTCCACAGGATTGGTTTGAACAGTATCGTGAAAGGGTGCTTGAGGCTGAAACGCTGATACTCACTACGCTCAATTTTGAACTCAATGTGCGACACCCTTATGCACCTCTTACATCTGTTCTTAGCAAATTTGGTCTTTCAAGGACCGTTTTGGTGAATATGGCCTTAAACTTGGTCAGTGAAGGGTGAGTTTTCGTATTTTAAATCTTACACCTTTATGATTGCAGTAGTAATGCTTGTTTATATCGATCCTCTAAAGGGTAAAACTAGTTCCACTCAAATGAAACTTGTATGTGATGTTCTGAGCTGTTGATGGTGTCCTCTTCAGGTATCCCTTTTATTGGTTCTGACTAGCCCTTTATCTAACAAGTGACTCGAATGAAAAAATTACTAGTCTAGGAAACAGAACACGGGGCACTGAGTGATAAGTCTCAAGAAATTTGCTTGTATTGAGGTGTGGAGTTCTTGTCGCTGAGGAAGATACCTCGGTGTCCGTCCTAAATTTTGGTCCAAAATAATGTTGATTCACAATAGTTTTCATTAGCCCAACTTCACTGTGTAGCTATTTGTCATGGGATATTGATTGTTTTGGCATGCATATAATTTGCAGGATCTTGACAAGAATATCATGCTGGCTTGTATGATATTCTTAGCTGGTGGATTGATATGCTGTTCTTGGAAAGTTTTGTTTTACATCTGAAGTTGAACTGCTGATGTGTAGTGGATTGATTTACCATGAATATATGACCCTGTTGCTTTTTCTTTGGGCTATAACCAAGAGCCCTATGCCACACATATTTTCTGTCAAAACCTCATTGTGTCAGTTTTAGTTTGTGCTGGTCACCATTGGCCAAATGGGCTATCGTTAATCTTTAGTGACCTGGATGAAAAGAAGATGATCTAAGTAATATGTTTCAAGCCAACAAAAAGAAGCGAACAGTCTGATTTCAAATATGGTCTGAATCTTGTTTTCCTGAACAAGTGTTTGTTAGTCATACATAACTCATAAATCAATCGGTCCTTTTCCACTAGAGTCAATTTATGATGTGAAGCAGAGAATAACTGAAAATAACACTGCTTTGCTACAGTGCTATAGTGCTGCTGTTTTACAATACTTTGTACAAAATAGCTTGTTGCGGAACAACAGTGATTTGTTCGAATTCCGCTACGCTATAGCACCACTATTTGACAACACTAATATGAAGGAAAATGAATTTTTATTCTGCTTCTGGAATGTTTTTTATACAACAAAAAAATAGACCCTATACTGCCTGAAGGAATCTTTCTTCTTTGGTCTATAAATTGACTTGGAGAAAATTGTTCCTAGGCAAAACAACTGATTTGATGTTGAGCAATTTGGTCCTTTTCTTTTTCTCTCTGTTCAGTTGGTCCTGCTATGCCATCTCCTACACTTTCCATCTCTTCAAATAGTTGTTTCTTTGTTCATTTAAATACATGTAGTTATTAAGTTTGTATTGGGAATTGAAGAATTGAACAGTCTGACTTAGTTTCACTTAGCAATGAATTCTGTTTTTAACTTCTAACATTACTTGGGGTTCATTCTTAATAGTTGGACATTGTTGTCCATGTTTTTAATTAGGTCATCCTCTGTTTGAACTTGAAGTGATGTTTTGGCCAATATTATGGATGCCGTTGAAAACAAAAAATGCTATAAGTTAAATATATGTATTTTGCTTTTGAGGTAGATGTCTGAAAGATTAGATGCTTGGCACTATCAATCAATATTGGTTTTTGTCTTGGTAGTTTCCTTTAAATGTAGGATGGTATTATCCTTAATGTTGTGCATTGTTGTCTTCTTAGTTTTAGAACTTGTTCAATTTGTTTTATGAATACAATCATGCTTCTGTTTCCAAAAGAAAATATGGTTGTACCGATATCTAATGTATGCTATGTTTTCACTTTTCAGAAAATGCATTTTATAACAATTTTTTTCAGGAAATGCATTTGCAGTTGTTTTTAGGCCATTCTGTCCAGAAATGTTGTAGCCAGTTTATATTATTCAGTTATCTTCCCCAATATATGATGCATGTCTTGTAAATTCAAGCCTTAAATTGGAGCTGGCTCACATTTTACTCTCATCTCATTTGGCATTTAGTGGCTGACCTGTATTATACTTCAAATGACTTGGCATCTACATGAAATATCAGTACTGGTGGTACCACACTGATATCTAGGGGTGTGCATGGTTGGTTATTTTTAAAAATCAAACCATAACTATTTTCAAACCATTTAAATGGTTTGGATTTATAACCAAAACCACATTTTAATCAACACTGGTTATAAATTTGGTTATGGTTATATAATCGGATTTTTAAAAAAAATCCAATTAAAAAAAAAATTTAAAAATTTATTTATTTTTATTTTGAAAATTAAAAATTTTGGATTTTGGATAATAAATCATATTATAACCGAATCCAAAAAAATATAACCAGTTAATAACCATTTAGTTATAGGGTTAAATATGTTTTTGGTCCCTATAAATATCTCAAATTTCATTTTTAGTCTTTATTAAAATAATGGTAATTTTTAGTTTCTACAAAATTATTATGCACGTAGTTTTAGTCCCTGTTGTTAAACCAATGTATATTTTTGATTTCTAAGTCTGAGATTTTCATTATTTTTATCAATATCTTTTGAAATTTAAAAAAATCATATTTAATTCTTCTCATTTTAAAAAATTCTAAAATTTAATGAAGAAACATTTTATAGTATTCTAAACACGTATGAAAAATATTATTCAAAAATTTAAAAGTTTAAGGTAATTAAACAGTTTTTAAAATTTTAGAAAATAGCAAGGACTAAAACGGGATGAACAAAAATTTTTTTGGACCAAAATTTGTCATTTTTTTAATAGGGATTAAAAATGAAATTTGAGATATTTATAAGGATAAAAAACATATTTGACTCTTAATTATATCCGGATTATATGAATGGATAACCAAAACCATTAAACATTAAACCGGTTAATAACCATTCAATTATATTTGGATATTTAAAATGGATTTGGATTTGTTATGGATTTGGATTTGTTATGGATTTGGGTCTCACATCCGCATATTTTGCACACCCTTACTGATGATATCCATTTGTATTGAGGGTCTGCTAGGTTGTATCCATTTGTATCGAGGGTCTGCTAAGTTGAATAGGTTATGCATAAAAAGTGAGTTTGCATCCTTTTGAGTTCAAATACTCAAAATGTACATTGACTTCAAGGTTTTCTTTGTTGGATGGGTTGTGAACTGTGGCCTTCTTTTTTCTCTTATTCTTGTTTTGGCAATATAGACAGTAACATGACTATACTACTCAAGGGAGTCCTGCACAGGTGCTACTATGTTGTGGGTAGCTGCCTTTTTTTTTTTTACCTTTTCTCTTCTCCTATTGGACCTTCAATGAAACCCCCTGTTAGCTTTGAATGATAAGGATGGTGGTAAAAAATGGAAATTTTTTGTTATCTGTTTCTTTTAACCGTTTTCCCACCTCAGAAGTGACGGTCTGTATCTTAGATGTCTGTAAGTTGTGGTTTTTAGCGCAGCCTATACCTCCCCTGATTTTATATCAGAAGGTTTTCTTGTGGTGGTGTTCTGTTGCCTCAAATGGCCTTTCCCCTTGCACCTTCATGTCACACAAAAGATCTTCCCCTATTGAATCTGAGAAAAGTGGTAGGATATGGGACTGTTTTTTTAGATCATTCTAAAACTGATCTAGACAAATTTGTCCCCGTGTCTTTCATCAAGAGGCTTTTTGCTTTGATATTTTTTATGGGCGCAGACAATTCAATTTTACTCCTATTCCCATTTTTCAGATGTTTCATATTGTGTAATGGTTTTTATTTTTATAATTTCAATTTGCATCTGCTAGACAGTGGTTGGGTTTTGATTTATGCTGTAGTGGGTGGAATAATTTGCATTCATTATAAGTATCCCAATGTACATGGTAACAATAGCAAGGCTCTCCAAGACAATATGTTGACAAGAGGTGGCATTGGCATTAGCTTTGAAAGTTCATTTGTTTGGAATGAGCAGCTCTCATGCATGCTTTAATATTTTCATTACATAAATTTCTGGAGTTTAGAGCCTCCCACAGAAGAGTTGGGTCTGGAAGTCTGATAAGTTCTCTAAATGTGTGTAAGATAGTGCTATAGTTTGGTACTGTTATCAACAATGCTACTCAAATTCTTGGCATAGTATTCTTCCTGAGTTGCTGCTATTATAGTTGGTAAGAAACATGGTATGAATGTTGAATACTATTTGTATTTTTTAGTTTATGTTACTGCTCATTATGATATGATAGCTGACGTGATTAGCCATGGTTGCAACATATGCTTAAGTTCGAGAATCTTCTTTTAGTGTTGCCTTGGATGGTTAGTTTGAGTATTTATGGTTGTATCACTGTCTCTGTTTGTGATAAAGCAATGCTAGCGGTATTGGTTTTGTTTACCTCGTTGAAGCTGTTTTTTTTTTTGCAGGCTTCGGAGCTCTCTATGGCTTCAATTTAAACCTGATCAAATTGCTGCTGGAGCTGCATACCTTGCTGCCAGGTTTCTGAACATGGACCTTTCTGCTTATCAGAATATCTGGCAAGAGTTTCAGGCAACTCCATCTATTCTTCAAGGTACGTTATTAGTCGTTATTATAATTTTCTAGTATCAGTGTTTTATTTACTATGCTATTTTAATGTGGCTGATTAAGTAGCAATAGATAAATTTATTGCATGTTCCTAAGATTTAGGAAAAACCTATTTTATTAGGACAAAATCTTGCACAGGAAAAATATCAGTATCAGTTTAACAATTTGTTTTTTTTCTTCGAAAAATGAAAAAATGGGAGCAATATATAAGGTGTTTATATTTTATTACATCTTCTAAAGTTTGTTTAATTTATTCATTTGAAACTTGGAAACTGGTCCTAGTTTTAAGTTATTTAGTGTTGGCACCTTGTCAGGGGGAAGTGTGTTGAAAGTTTGTTGCTGAACTTAATAATATGCTTTTATTTTATTCTCAGTACCTGATAAGTGATATCAATTCTTTCATTGATGCAGATGTCTCGCAGCAATTAATGGAGCTCTTCTAGAAGGATAATAGAAATGTTATACCATAGTTCTCAGTAAAGTAGATTTTAAATACTTCACATACTTCAGAAATAGAATCACAGATCATCAGTGTTGTTTCCAGAGTTTGATATCTGTTAAATTTCGTGTTTCCTTTGGAGTGACCTACTCGTGCATGCACATAAAATAGTTTAAAACTTTGAATATGCCATTATCTGGCTTGGATTTAAAGTTTTTGTTTGTCTTGCGTTCATTGGAAATAAGATAAATACTTTTTTTTTTGTCTTAATTGGAAATGAGATAAGTACATTTTTTTTTCTGATTGTTTTGGCATCATTGGAATTTGGAAATAATTTGAAACTTTGACTTTGCGATCATTGGAATGATTTGTTGAATCTAGGAGTACTCTTTGGGAGCGGACTCCTTCAAGTGTATTTGACAATGGTTTTTCCTATTAAGAACTTCTTTTAGTTGTTCAACACTTTATTTTCACGAGGGTTTGGATTACATATAGTGTTTTTCTTTTTCCTTGTATTTGTTTATTTGAGTGAAGGAGTGTCTAGAGTGAAACGAACGGAAAAAGCTTATGTGTGATTCTACAGGCAAGCAAGAATGTCATGGATGGATGGATGATAATAATGGAAGGGAAGTAGAGAATTTGTTGACGATTTTCCTGCTTGACTTCTGCTATGCCCCTTAGCCATTTCTTTTCTTTAGCATCATAGAAAACACTCCTTATCCTTAGGCCGAGAGAAAGAATTGGAAAAATACTTTTGTTGTATTTAGTGGATGTGTGACTTTTCTATGCTTAAGGCATGGAATTTATTTACCAACTTTTGTCTAATTGCCTCTAGTTGCAGGCTTTTAGTCTTTATATATAAAATCAGTCCTTGATGGAGGAAGAGTTTTTCTAACTAAAGGAAAAGCCAATGGCCCTCTCATAAATCCAAGACTTATCTGACTGTGAATCCTAACATAATCGAAGTGCTTTAAGTGATTTATGAGAAATTAACACGTCATCTCTTAAATTGAATGTCACCTTTTAATTTTTTTTATTCTATTTTTATTTTTGGATGAGATACATACTATTTTCGTATGAAATTTCCGGTAGAAAGATTGAAATTTCTGGTACGACTCAAATTTCCGGTACACTCTAAAATTTCCGGTATGCGTAAATTTTCAGTAGTATGTTGAAAATTTTCGATGTACCGGAAATTTCAAATTAATTGAAATTTTCGATAATTATAAAAACATGGTTTTTTAAACGGTTGAAATTTTGCCGACATATTTGGATGGTTCTGATTGCACCGACACATTTGTATTGTCTAGAATGCATCACCATTTGTATAAATAGGGGCATGTGTTATAGAGAAAATACATCTCAAAAAAATGTCTCTTCCTCAATTTCTGATTAAGGCAGAAGTGTATTACAACGACAACAACCCTCCTGTTGAATTCAAACTTCCAGATGGCTTCGAATCCTTTGCCATCTTGAAAGAAATATTGAATAATTTACTGCCTGATTCTAATAACAAAAGGGTGACAAAGGTAGAGTTTCGGGAGGATTAGATTGATACAAATGGAAGGGTGAAATACAACCTAATCGAGTTGAAGAATGATGAAGATGTGAAGGCCATGTGGAAATCATTTCTCCGTAGGATAACTAAAGGTTCGATCGAGTTAGATGCGCAGATCCGAAGATTCGTCGACGACATAATTAAGATGCTGAAACGTCCAGAGTCATCCGAAAGTGCATAGGTTTTCATGTTTAGTTGTTTTAGGGTTATGTTTGGTGTACTATTTTATGTTATGTTCATCATCGATTTGAAACATATAATCGTCAAAATATTATACAATAAATAAGAAGTTTGTGTCACAAAATATACATATAATACAAACAAAATAAACAGATCTACAAAGCCCCTCCACTAGCTATGCTGGTTAACCTAACTAAACCTCTATAGATCTCACCAACTGGGTTTACCAAACCCATGAGACTGTCAGCATGAACTGCAATAAACTAGAGCTGTCTTGATCTTTTACAGGTGGTGAAGGTGGCTCGGTAGAAACTCTGGCACCAGAAGGCCCCAGAACATCAGATGTTGCAGCCGGTGCTATGACTCGGGGGTATGACACACTGTGAAACCACTCCAGGTATCCATCCTCGCACTGCCCAGGCTACTGAACCTCAACGACTGTATCCATGATCTCACAGGGGGAGCTGAGGATGTGACTCTGAAGCCATATATCAATACCACCAACGGGAGACTCTAGAACTGGACGAGGGATGCCCTGTACATAACCATACTAGGGTAGACACCTCTCAGGCAAGTGTCTAGCCACACGGCTCTCCTATCTAATATGCCCTAAATATAAAGTCGATACCTCAACTGGACGATGACGGTGATGAGATGTATATGGTGTCCAAACGATATCCTCCAAGGTCAGAGCGTTAAGCCTCCCCCGGTACTCCATCAAACCTCCTGGAATGGCTTGCTTGGCCTTCCATTTCCTCACACATGGCTCAGATTCCTAGACACGTTGGATCATTCGTTAACAAATGTGAGGAAAGTGCTTGTATATCCAACACTGCATAAATAAAAACCATCAAATAAATACACTCAAATAATTAATAAAAACCATTAAATAAATTATAGTATACATGTAACAAGTTGAGGTAACCAACAAGCTGGCTGGTCTCAGGACGATAAACAACGTCAAGTGTCGTGTACAACATGGTTAAGGCCGCCACTCCCAAAGCCCAACATGGAGTGTCAAGTGCGCTGAAGAGAGACAAGTACCGAACATCAATATAAACTCCAGACTTGTCCATAAAGAGAGTAAATGCCATCAGATGCAGCATGTACGTCCTAACGTCAACATGGTACCTCCTCACCTCCTCAAGCATGGGATTCTCAGGGAAGTTCTTCAATTCGAACCATGAGAAGAGATCTTCAACACCGAACACTCCTATAAGAAGCAAAAACAAATTATTACACATGAAATCTTGTACGCAAAAATAAAAATTATGCAATTAAACAAAACCAAAAATATATATCTCGCCATGCCATATCCTATAAGCGACATGGTCGTAAATCCTATCAGCACGGACCTGTCTGAAGGTCCTCCAGGGAAACCTCCATCAGTGTGTACTGATGACTCTGTAGACGCACAAGTCGTGGTGACTGTATCAGCGGGGGAACCTGATCAACTCGCTCAGTAACAACCTCCTGCTCAACCTCCTACACCATATGCTCTACAATGTGCTCCTAAATTATCGGCTCCACAATAAGAACAAGAGCATGTACCTCCTCAGTAGGAGCATGTACCTCCTTAGTGGAAGTATGTACCTCCTCCGTAGGAGTCTGTACCTCCTCAGCAGTGGATACTCAAACACCCCGACGATGGGATACGCGGAACTGCACCTGCTGCTCATCCATCCGTTTCCGGTGAAAACCGATCGGAGGACGGCGTCCAGCCCGTAGCTCTGAAGTATGCACCTCGTCAGCCCGAGCTTTAGAATCAACTCTATCAGTGGTCTGTCCCGCAATAGAACCATCTCTGCCTCTGATCCTCACTGTAAAATAAGAAAATATAAACTATTAGAAATTTCTAAATTTCCGGTATTTTTCAAAAAAAATTGAACTACTGAAAATTTCAAAATTACAGGTATTTTGTGACGTACCGGAAATTTCAAAATTTATGATATAAATGGTAAATGAAAATATCAGATATTTTGAAATTTTCATTACGAAAATACCAGATATTTTGAAATTTCCGGTACAAAATACCAGAAATTTCACAAATCTACCATAAATTCTTACTTGTTCACAAAATTTCCGGTATCGCCTTTGAAATTTCCGGTATCACCCAAAAATTTGAAAAATCCGGTTGGTCACGTAAATTTGGAATTTGTGGTGAATAATTTGGATCTAGACAATTTGGTCATTCCATACCATTTGAGAGGGTGCCATGTATAATATGGTGGGTGGCAAGTTAATTTCTCGTGACTCCCCTAACCTAAAAGTTGGGAGGTTTGGAATAATTACTTGTTTCGCTTTGAGTCAACTACTCCAATAAGTAAAGAAAGAGAATTTATCTTTCCACTCTATAATGAAAAGAAAAACCCTAAGTAATTACTAAAGTGCCCCTTGAAACCAGAAGTATATTTCTAGTGTACACCATGCACCACACACAAACAGATCGAACATGGTTCCACCCTATTCAAAAGATAAAAACAGAACTAAAAATGTAGTTTCAGTTGCAACCGATATTGTATTTCTGGTTTGTATAGCGGGAAGATTGAATTTTCTGTCACCTTATACATTTTACATATTATCGAAAATATACTTCTGGTATTATGGAAAATGCATATTACTTAAAACAACAACTAACATGTGGAAGGATGATCATCCTCGTTTCTTCATTTTTTCATAAACCCTCTCAAAAACTCTTTCATTGTCAATCCATTTTCCACTCCAAATCTTTATTCTTGTGGTTCATCATATCAAAAGGAGCTTAAGAAAGTGGAATTTAAAGTAAAGTTTATTCATTTCAATCCTCATTCTTCACATTAATATGATTTTTTTCTTGAAAAAGGTTACTGATTAGTAGTTAAACTAAACCGGAAATGTAATCTTGGTTCCTGGACGTGCTTAATTTTCCAGCAACTGTGTGTTAATTAGTTTAATTTTTTATCACATTAGGTATGATGCATCCAAATAACATTCCCAAACCTGATGTGTCTCAAGTTATTTCACCTCTCGTATCTCCTCTCGTAACTAAGGCTGTAGATATTCATAACCATTTTGAAATTAAAGAAGAGTTTGAATTACGTGAAGATATGATGCAGTGGATTCGTATAGAGGCCACCAAAATAGGGTTTGGTATTGTGATTGGAAGGTCCGATAATGGTACGGATAGAAGATGTGCATCTTTGACTTTGACATGTAAAAAAATGGGAAATATATGCGCCAGACCCAGAGTTTGAAACGCGATGACACTTGTTCAAGGAAATGTGAAT